ATAATTAACTTACCATGTAAACAAATAACTCCCCACTCTTCTGTCATGTAAATCCAAATGGGGTTCACTTTGTCTATTTAGAGTATTATTATTAATTGGTGATACCATGTCATCAATGGTGCCATGGTATCACTGTTGCATTCAATATTTACTCGGAAGGAAGGACCTTTGGACGCCTATTGCCATCTTGTTGTTGGGTAATCATGGGATGACATTTGGTTGGTTGACGAGAAGATAATTGGTGAGTAGGATTAGGATGAGGGGATTACGGGTCATTCCAATTAAGACGATCAAAAGAAGTTTGGATGAGAGGGGGTGACGAAATTGTTGGTGCATGAGGGAGAGGATTGGGTTGAGATTTAGATGAGGAGAAGCGACTGAGTGGATGAGAATTAAAGTTGGATGGGGGAGTATCGTGTGGTGAGAAAACATGAGGCAACGATGTGGGGGAGGATAACCGTGCCCTTGAGATTGGAGGAGGTTTAGCAGGTGTTATGGATGTATCATAGAATGAAGGGGAATGGAATTTTAAAAGATACCACTGATTAGATAAACTTGAGACGATAGGATGAGATTTGGGAGAGAGTTTCAGTATGAAAGGGCACAAAACCATGAGGAAAAATAAGATGACATGTGGATTTGGTTAGAGTTTGATATGGGAATGGAACTTCATCAAAGACAACATGCTGTGAGATCTCAATTTTATTGGTGTGTTGATTTAGACACCAGTAGCCACTATAATCGGGTATCCTAAAATGATACAAAGAGTAGATTCAGGGGCTAACTTATGTCGAGTGGTGGAACTCAAATTCCCATAACAAGCGCGTCCAAACACATGGAGATGAGAGTATGTAGGTGGTTTGTTGTATATGAGTTCAAACAGAGCTTTATGTTGGAGCCTTTGTTTGGGTAGAAGATTTAGGAGATGAATAGAAGCATGAAGTACTTCAACCCAAAACATAGGCGGCAGTGATGCCTGAAATAGAAGGGGCATATTAGAAAAGGAAGTCTAATGCCAAGTTGACATGCATGTCAAGTAGAGAGCTGGGGGGACTCCACGGCTTTATTATGCAGCAAATAGTATAGAGTATTAGTTCGCTGGTGACCAAGACGATGATGCCATAACTGAGGAGATACCGAGGAGACAGCAAGTGCAGGCTTGAGGGATCCAACACAAGCGAGAGTGAGAGGAATTGAATAAAGGGGTACGAACCTATTGCACCTGAGAAGCTCCCTCTTCATCTAGAGGTCCTTGACAGAAAAACCAAAAGAGTCAAATTCAATACTACACTTGTTGTCATGAGTGAATTGACGAACATAAAGTAAATTTTTTTGAAGCTCTTGAACAACAAGAATATTTCGAAGATGGAAAGTGGAAGTGGGAGAATTAAGGTGAGAATTACAATGTGTGAAATGGGTAACAAAGACTCATTGCCAACTTGAATTTGGTCAAGACCATGGTAAGGAGAAGGCGAAGGGAGAATACTTGAGGGGGGAGTCATATGAGATGACGCGCTAGTGTCGGGATACCAATTTGCATCATAAGAGTCTTGCATATTGGAATGAACAATGGAGCCTGGGTTATTGTCGGATACAAATGCTCGCTGAGTGTGAGGACATTCATGGTCAATGTGGTAAACTTAAAGCACAACTGAAATTTCACAGGGTTGTTGTTTTATATTGGGACTGTGGAGAAAATGAAGGCCTGCTGCCAAGAGTGGAGTTGCCACGATCCTTGGTACTGGGAAATTGTTGCCAACCAAGTGTAGAAGATGGCTGCTTTGAATGAGAGGAAAATTGGTTTGAAAAGTTGGACCTCCCACGTCCTCTATTTGAGTAATTGTCTTGACAATAATTAGATCTTTGATCAGGCCAATATGAGAGCGATGAGAAGAATCCTGACCACCTTGATTGGAAGTGGTGTTGTGGTTTGCAACAAAAGCTGTGCCAGCTGTTGAAGAGGTGTGGATTGCGAGCTGTTGTATCCGACTTTCATGAATGAATAGTAGTGAGCGAGCCTTGACAAAAGAAGGAAAGGGCAGTCTTGTTGAGATTGCAATGTCGAAACTTTCATATTCAGAAGGTAGTCCAGTCAAAGCTTGCATAACAAGATCTATGTCCAAAATTGGATTTCCACAAGATGGAAATGAATTTGCCAAGATTTCAGTTGTTGAAGTAGTTCACCATTGATTTGTCCTCCTTGGAATGATAATGAAACTCCATCTTTAGTTGAAGTACACGGGAATTAACTTGGTAATGAAAGAATTGTTTGATAGTAAGCCAAACTTCACGAGCTGTTTGGGTTTGGTTTGGCTTAATGATTGCATGTAGGATAGCAGGAGATACTGTAGCTTGAATCCATGATATCTGCATCCATAGTTTGTATGCTGGAATAGGAATAGGATTACCGGCTTCATTATTAACAATAAGTGGGGGAGAGATAGAGGTGCCATTCACATGATCATAGACATCATGCCCTTTAAGAACTAGAAGAAAAAGCTCATTATGCCAGTCCACAGGAGATAATTGGAAAAATAAAGAATAACACAGATGTAAGTTTTTTATGTTAGAGATTCCCAGAGCCGGATGAGATATTATTAAGATGTCATTAAGAAAGAAGAAGACACTTGAGAATGAGAAGGAGAGGATGCTTATATGGCAGTAGAAGAATTAGGTGATGCCATTAGAATGATGAAGATAATGAAGAGAAGAATTAGACACGAGAAGAATGAGGAAGTGCAGAAGATTTGGATAGCCTCTGATACAATAAAAGAGAGATTGTAAAATCCACCACGGTGGTTCAATGTATTGATGTCATTATATATACCAACAGAACAATGCAATTTAAGAGTAGAAAAAATAAAGAATAAAATATCCGATCTACATAGTATGGGTACACATTATTTATCTTTTAAATGGAACCCAATGAATTTAAAGTTGAACTTAGTCAAAATGAATAAAATTTGAAATTGACATTTTGGAGTGTTAAAAGTAGGGTTAAAGTTGTGTTTGGGGATCACCTAACAAGTAATAATATTACATGATGATCTTGATTGGTATACAACATGTCAATAGCTATTTATTTATATTTACGTATAAATATCAGCATATGTGAAAAAATTTTGATTTCTTATTCCATTCTTATTTAATAATGTTAAGTCAATCATACCTCACAACCCTTATTAATGTCATTATTTTTCCTTTCATGTCGTATCAAAACTCTTCTTATCATATAACATTAGGTCTCTAGCCATTCGTTCTACTTATTCTTATAGCTTTAAGTTTTTAATTAAAATAGTAAATCTAATAACTCAAATTACTGTATAATACATATATACTAGCGTTGGTTTCGTGCGATGCATGGAAACTGCACACCTCCCCCTTCCCCTCCACCTTTCCCTTTCTTTTTTTCCTATTGTCATCATACCATTTCAAAAGTTGGATAAAAAATTATCAAAAAAAATTAGGGGATAAAATAATTATGTAAAGTTATGGTGGTGAAACTATGTTTCTAAAAAATTTAAATTAGTAGCTCATTTTTTTAAAAAATTTGAATGAGTGATTTTAATTAGTGGGGTAGAGGGGTAGTTACATGTGATATGTGTTAGAATATAATTGGTTAAGTGATAATTAAATAATTGACAATTCAATGGGAGGGAAGGCTTCTCAAGCCACCTCCCACCTAATTTGATTGTTTTATAGTATAGTAAGATTAATAACTAGGTTTATTAAAAATTAAAATAAGAATTAATTCTCCAACACAGTTTATTTATTCAATTCAATTACACATATAATCGATATTTTTTATAAGTTTAAAAAATTATTATTTAAATATTTTCACTTGCAACATATGTTGTGTATTACTAGCCTAATTTTTATAAAATCAATTATAATCTTATACCTTCATATAATTTTTATTTTTATACATAATTTGACTTTTAAGTTCTTTTAAACTCTTTTATAAGTAGTATTTGACTTTTAAATTCTTTTGAACTCTATTATAAGTAGTACACTTATAGAAATTTTTTCATATTTATGCTTATATCTATATGAAGTAAAGTCAAATTTATATTATATTGTTATATACATATAGTCTTTTTTGATTCTATGTTATATACATATAATCATCAAATTGGATTCTAAGATCAAATATATGTCATATATTTTTTTTTAATAATTAGGTTTAACAAAAAATAAAATAAAGATTAATTTTTTGATACCAAATTTAGCATTTAATTTAATTGCACATAAAATTTATATTTTCATAGATTCAACAAAAAAAATATTATTTAAATTGTTTACGTGCAATGCACGTCGCGCATTGCTAGTCTTACTAAAAGTGATAATATTAACATTATACTTTTCTTTTTCATTTTAGGGAAGCCTTGTTGCCACAACCTCATATCCAGTTTGGAAATAAACCCTTCTGTAATTAGAAAGTCATTGTTCACATGGATTGTGATAACGTTTCACATTGCTGTCAAATCAAAAATATCAATGGAAATTGAGATGATATCTAACATGAAATTTTGGAGTTTTGAAAGAAGGTTGTGTGAGGTTGCGGTGAGGGATATCCTAACTTGTCATAAGGCTACATAAGGATCAAAATTTCGTTTCAGTGTATTATTTCGATCACCAAATAAACGGAAACGTTTTGATGTATTTCAGAAACGTTTTGACCCGTTTCAGAAACATAATGAAAAAAATAAAAAATTTAAAAATTATTTTTCTAAAACATTGATTTAAATATATCAAAATATCTTGAAATATTCCAAAATAATTGTACAAATGCATTGAAATATTATAATACATCTTGAAACATTATGAAATGACTCGAAATATTAGAATTTCGATTCCATCACTGATTCGTTTCGATCTTCTTGGAAACGGAAACATTTCAGACGTTGCTACCGTTTCGAAACGATATTTTGATCGTTGATGCTCAATAAGTTCTTGATGGGCATTCTGATGTGTCAATACCATTTTTCGTCCCAAGAGTGATGACAGTAGCTTTTTTTTTTGGATCAACACCCGCCACAGCAGGGGGGTTGTTGTTCCCACTTAATTCAGTTGATCTAATAGTGCTCCTTTTTCTTTGTTTATTTGAACTTACCAGGATGATCTACGACTTCTCTTTAATGCTTATAAGGTAGCATTCGGGTTTCTTGATGGTATGTATTGTATTCCTTCTTGAAGTTAATGTTTGTGATCTAACTTTTAAATCCTACATTTGATTCCCATTTTGTGTTCCACTTTGATCTGTCTGCTTGCACAGCTGTTGGACAAAGTGAAAGCAAGCTGGCGCAAGCGGCTAGAGAAGCAAGCTTTGAAGATGAAATTTTGGAAGAGGTTCGGAGAGCAGCTTTGGAAGATGAACTCTCGGATGAAGCCAGAGAAACAGGCTTTAACATTGACCCAGATAAACTTGCATCAATGGTCCGTAACCATGAAATCAAGTCCTTGAGATTATTCAGAGGAGTTGAAGGACTTGCAAGCAGAGTAAAAGTCTCATTGAATGAAGGAGTCAAAACAAGTGATGTGGCTATCAGGCAGAAGTTCTATGGCTTTAACAGATATAGTGAGAAACCTTCTAGAGGTTTTTGGATGTTTGTGTGGGATGCTTTGCAGGATTTAACTCTTACTATTTATATGGTCTGTGCTGTGGTTTCAGTAGTGTTGGGACTTGCCACTAAAGGATGGCCAAAGGGAATGTATGATGGGTTGGGAATTGTACTTAGCATATTCTTGGTGATCCTTGTTACTGCAGTCAGTGACTACAAGCAATCCTTGCAATTTCAGAAAAGGATATTTATTAAGGTTACCAGAGATAAGCTTACGGAAAAGGCCTCCATATATGACTTGGTTGTTGGAGATGTCGTTCATTTATCCACGGGAGACCAAGTTCCAGCTGATGGGATATTAATTTCAGGACTCAACTTGTTGGTTGATGAGTCCGGCTTGTCAGGCAAGAGTGTGCCAATAAATAAACACAAAACAAACCCTTTTCTTCTTGCTGGAACCAAAGTGCAACATGGGTCAGGTAAGATGCTGGTAACAACTGTTGGTGTGAGAACTGAATGGGGTAAAATGATGGTGACTCTAAGTGAAGGTGGAGAAGATGATACCCTACTGCAGGGGAAGCTGAATGGTATTGCTACAAATATTGGTAAACTTGGATTGGTTTTTGCTGTGCTGACATTTACGGTGCTAACAGTGAGATTCCTGGTAGAGAAAGCACTGCACAAAAAATTCAGAGATTGGTCTTCCAGGGATGCACTGACAATTTTAAACTACTTTACTGGTACGGTAGCCCCAGAAGGACTCCCACTGGCAGTGACACTAACCATTGCCTTTGCAATTAAAAAATTGATGAATGAGAAGGCAATCAATAGGCTTCCCTGTGCATCTGAGACGATGGGTTCTGAATGTAGCAAACCAGAAGTTTGCAGCAAAACTCCTGAGTACCTGAAGGAAATGGTACCAACAATGTATGAAGAAGTAAGACGAACACAGCTAGGGCATGCTAAATGTATTGATATTTTTTGTATATCAACTTATGAAATCTACCACTTTACATAAATATGATTCTAGTATTATACACCATAAGGAAATCAATACCTATGATCAATAAATCTTATATCTACTGATTCAAAATTTTACACCAATAGGCCATAGTAGTCAATAATAATGGATTTTCTATAGACCTAGTATGGTAAATTAATCTTCTCAACTCCTCTTTTCAGTAAAACTTTATGTATCTTTTGCTTTTATCAGTAAATTTAAGTTAAACTTAACCATGATTAGTTTTTTAACAATTGATAGATTTTTTGATTGTATAAGACAGTCAAATTTCAACTCCTTGTTAATTACATGTCAACACGAGTTTATTTTTTATCATTGACACAATTTAACGAAGTGTCGGACATGTGGTTGAGAATGTACGAAAAGTGCCGATGTCCAACACAAATACATCACTTATTTAATAGGGTACTTGCTTCTTGGCCCAGAACTAAGGTTCACATAATCACATTAGATTGCCAACAGTTATATGTTTCAATGCAAGATGTTATTTGTAACGAGTAGTTTTGTTGGTTGGTTAATTTGTCACATTTTATTCATGGAGTGTAATTTAATGGTAGATGCACTTGCTTTCTATAATGACTAATAGATACCTGCAATGGCTTGGTCTTCACCTATGGACCAGCACACTTTGGTAACCCACTCGAGGAATACATTTCAAGAAGTTGATGAAGTTACTAGTGATGGGACCAATGATGCTCCTGCTGTGCATGAAGCAGACATTGGACTCGCTAGGGACATAGGAGGAACAGAGGTTTGTGTGTCTGCTCTTTCGCTTTGCAATTTTTGTATACTTGGTCATTTCAATGATATTTCTTGTTTTGCTTTCTCTAGTTGATGTTCTTTCTTCCATCGGGCACTGATTAGAACTTGTCGTATTAGACTCTGATAAGTTATGTCTAATATCGTCGATTATTATTAATTTATTGGCTTGCTTTATTTCCAATTTCCTTTTGAGTCTGTCTGAGATAGGATTGGAGCTACTGTCCATACTTGTCTAGTTTTTCTTGGTTTTTTTGAAATGTGGTTTCTAATATATTCTTATCTTTATAAACTCCCTTTTGTATTGATCAAATAATTTTCTATACTGATTCATAATCAATGACAGGATTAGATTTACAAGTGATAACCCAAGTGTCTCAAGAGTTTGGTTTTACCTTCAGTACAAGTGAGGATTTGTTCCATACTGACCCCCCATGATTTTCTCATTCGTGAAGAATATAATCCATGAAAGCTTCCTATGGGCTCGTTACTTCTGTAGTTGCAATCTGCTAGACTATTGCACTATTTTGCTAATATTATTGCCTATTTTTCATTATATTTTGTCCTACTTTCACCCAACTAATATTTACAGGATGCAAAAGAAAATGCTGATGTCGTGGATGCCAATTCTACCACCAGAGTGGAAGTAGGTAAATGGGGACCTGCTGTATATGCAAATATTCAGAAGTTTGTGCAGTTCCAGTTAACTGTCAACGTTGTCGCTCTCATGATCAATTTTCTTTCTGCCTGCATCTCAGGTGGGTTGGTCGAGTTGGCTTTCTCGTTCCTGCAATACTTACCACCAAACATCATCATCATCATCTTCTTCTTTGTAATTTTCAGGATCTGGACCCCTTACAGTTGTGCAGCTGCTATGGGTCAATCTGATCATGGATACACTAGGTGCATTGGCACTGGCTACCCCACCACCGAATGAGGGACTGATGAATAGGTCTCCTGTTAGGAGGAATGTGAGCTTTATTACCAAGGCCATGTGGAGGAATATCATTGGTCAGATCATTTATCAACTGGCTGTTCTTCTAGTTCTCAATTATGATGGGAAACAACTTTTGAGACTTAAAGGATCAAATGCTGCAGCCATTCTCAAGACTTTCATATTCAACACCTTTGTGTTTTGTCAGGTATTATTTTTTTTATTTCGATTAAGATATTTTTGCTAGTTGTGTGCAGTATCTTTTGTTGCTTTTTTTGTTGAATCATTAATCTCTTACTTGGGTGAATAGATGAAACTACAAGAATCCGAAAAAAAATGATTCAGAATCCACATCAGTAAATGGAAAAGAGTTCCCTGAAAGTGCTTCTAACAGAACTTTGTGGTCGATTTGTTATTATTGTTTCTTAGAACGAGCCTAGGAGAGCATAGTTCGAGAAGCAAATAATAACCTTGCATACTGGCATTTCTTAGACTTCTGGATCTGTTGGTCAATTCTCAGGTGTTCAATGAAATAAACAGCCTTGACATTGAGAAGATGAACATTCTTCGTGGCATGTTCAATAGCTGGATATTTATAGGCGTCGTGGTTTTCTCAGTGGTACTCCAAGTAATCATAGTCGAGTTCCTGGGGACTGTTGCTGGTACTGTTCCCTTACGGTGGCAGCTATGGTTAATCAGCATTTTGATTGGAGCAGTGAGCATGCCCGTTGCACTAGTTTTGAAATGCATCCCTGTTGACATAAAGCTCGCTAAGCGCCATAACCGTTCCCGTCCCCGCGCGAGCAGTGGTCTAGAACTTGTTTGAAAAAGGAAAGAAGGCACATACAAAAGCTTTTAGGTAAGGAAGTATATATGGTAGGCCTTTGTATAAAAGAAGCTAGACAACTAGAGATTTATATGAAATCTCTCTTCAAAATAGCTCGTGTATAATCCTTTTGATATGCACTCGCGCATTGTACGGAAAAAATTAAATAATATTATTTTATAAATATAAATTATGTGTAAATAAATAATAAATTTGGTGTTAATAATTAATTCATATTTTAATTATTACTTTATTTTATAAGTTTTTAGTACTTAATCTGTTTTTGTTTGGTTTGGCAACTAATTGTTTTTGTTTTTTTTTTCTATTTTTGTTAAGATTAAAAACAATACCATGATTGGTTCATGTTTTTGTTGGTTTTGTCAAGTTGTTTTGAAAACAAGGTTGAATTTTAAAAACAAGGATGCTTTTGAAAACACAGGAAAACACGGGGTAATCAGGTTTAGCCTTCGATTTTCATTAAAAGCAAAAGATAGGATACATTTGTGGCACATATATAAAGCAAAAAAAAAAAAAAACTTCCTCTCTCCCTGTCTCTTGCATCTCTGTGGATCTGTTACTGTGGGAACAATAGCGAAGTTTTCTCCGGCGAAGCTCTTCATTTTGCATTTTCAGGTGTGGGTGGTGGTGGGTTTCCAGGGGTGGGTGATGGTGGATTTTTCAGTGGTTTTGGGGTTGTTGGGTGTTGGGGTTGGGTGGTGGGTTTTGCATGTGTATTGGGTGTTGGGTTTTAGGGGTTGGTGGTGGGATTTCAGGGGTGGGTGGTGGTGGGTTTTGGGGGCTAGTGGTGGTGGTTTTTTCGGTGGTTGGGTGGTAAGTTTTAGGGGTTGGGTGGTGGGTATTGGATGGTTGGTGGTGGTGGTCCGTAGGTGGTGTTGCGTGGTGGATCTCCAATTGAATTTTATTTTGATGAACAACTTATTTGGGAATAAAAAAATTAACTAAACATATTTTTTATTTTTATTTTTATAATTTTTTAAATATAAATGACTATCAAATATATTTTATATTTTTAATTTTTTTCACAGAAAAAATAAAATTAATTCTGTTTTTTTTTATAAAAAAACAAAAATGTTATCAAATCCACCTTATGAGTCTCTTTTTTATTTTGTTAAATAAATTAATTAGATCGTTTATAATATTATTACATATCAAAAAAATAAAATTTATAATATAAAATATTACGGTTTCAAATAAATTCATCCATTGATCGCTAATATTTCTTTCAAAATTATTCATATGGAATTTTATAGGGCTAAAATAAAAAATCAAAAAAATTTCATAGATATTGACATTTATATATATATATATATATATATATATATATATATATATATATATATATATATATATATATATATATATATATATAAATCAAAAAGTTCATGGTCGTGGTGAATACATTAAAAGGACCTAGAGGAGATGAATATATCTTTTTTAAATTTTAATAGTCAATTAAAAATAGAAGAACCAATCTCCAATCTATGAAGCAAATTCAACACGATGAGCAAATTAAATATGTATGTACAAAAATCCAATTCAAATGTAATGATCCTCATAATCATGAATGAGTAATATACTATGATACATTGAGAATAGTCAATGTATCTTACAAGTACGGCGTTAATTGTTAATCGAGCCGAGCCTCATAATAGTCAAGTTTGGAAGGCTTTCGAGCTTAGGTATAAAATATATGTGAATTTATTGATATCTTTACATATAATTCAATTAAGATATTATATGAAAATATAATTTCTTTTATTCTCGGTTGAGAATTGGAGAGGTTTTGATTGGGTGGATTCAAATAAAAAGAAGGTTTTTTTGTCAATATTACTTTATTCATTTTTTTCATATCAATAACTCAATCAAAATGTAATTATCTATAAGAACAAAGTGTTTGTTGTGCTTAATATCTTTAGTTTAGTTTAGTTTAGTTTGTATATGCTTATGCTCAGCTCGAGTTATTTAAGGATTGCTCAAGCTCGGCTCTCGCCTATTGAGCTCAAATATTGTTTAAGTTCAGCTCAAACAAAAAATAAGCCATTCAAAAAAAAAAAATTAAATCTACAAATTTCAAGTACCCAATCTAAAATTTTTACAAAAATATACCCAAATTTGAGTATAAAATACCTCTGAATCACAACAAAAATATACAAACTTAAATTTTTTGTTAATTTTATCGAAATAACCTTAAGATCTATAATAATCTATATGTTTATTATATTCAAGTAGAAAAAATGGGCCTGTGAATGGTTTGGACTTGGCTTGAATCAAATTAATCCTACTCTTGTTTTGATCTCTCCGGGTTGCATCACCGAAGCTCACACAACAAGAGGGTCTAATCTCTTAAATAGAGTTTAGTCTCTCTCTAGCCTTGTTTGATTGCCGTATTAAAAATGAATAGATTATATAAAATAATATCTAATACAATACAGATGGATTAAAAATAAGATTAAATATGATATTAAAATAATACGTAATTTTATATAGTGTTTAGCAATACACAATATAAGCGTTGGATAGTAGTTATTTAATTCAATCAGTTGTTTGGTTAGAGAATTATTTCATCGTATTAATGTTGAATTAACAAAAATACTCTCGATCAGTGTTTGTTACATTGATGACAACTTGAATTTATCACTTGGGGGGTTATAATAGGAAATGTGTAAATAATATGTTTGAGTTGGATTATAATACCACATCTTTTGGTAGTATTAAAAAATTTTCATAATACAGGTCTATCCTATAAAAAATATATGATAAGTATATGTTTTTGAAATTAATACGATATCAAATTTACTTACCAAATAAAATATTAGGTCAGATTAAATAAAAAATAGTACAATCTAATATTTAATCTCCTCATAATACGTTTACCAAACGAGCCCTATTAGTAGAAGACTTAGGTTATAACTAAATCCAATACAGTCAAAACACCTTTCTATCTAAAAGAAATGGTGCTCGATGAAATTATCCAGATTCCACATTATATTGTGGGTTGGGAAGAGAGTTGCTTTGCGAAGCTGGGCGTTCTCTTGGTATATGGTATATGTAGAAAAGAGTGACGAACTCATTTTTGTTCGGTCATAAATTAGTCTGAAAAATGAGTTAGTTTCCTTAAGTCTGTTATTTCTTAGTAGCTCAGTGGTAGAGCAAACGATTATTAACCGTTGTCATTTTTTATTGGACCAAAGTCGCACAATTTAAAGATTGGAGACCAAATTGATACAAAACACATACTTAAAGGGCTATCAATGTATTTTACCCAAAAAGTTGTCTAATACTCAAAGCTGGTTCGTGTGATTGCCTCGAGGATTCTGGTTGGAATTCTAAGGTAGAGAAGGTATAGAAGATTGATTCAACAGCATGCTGAGAGTCTTCAACTTTACAGTTTATCACTTCAATTCATAAAGTTTTCACACACCTCAAGTGTGATTATATGAGACGTACGTGATGATCACTTTTAACAAATTTTAACTAACTGTTGCTTTCAATTATACCAAAATGACTAAAAAAGTGAGGGACCAAATTCACACAATTAAAGCATTAGAGACTAAATTAACACAAAATATATAATTTAGGGACTAAAAATATATTTTACCTAAACTTTTTTCTTTAGAGCTTGGTGGTGACTAGGGTATATTACTCGTGAACATGCCCAAGAATTAAGTGTTTGATCAAAGGTTAGTTTGGCTAGAAAAATTTACCGAGCCTAAACTCTGATACCAAGTAAAGAAAGATAATAGAAAATGAACAGGAATTGCATATCGTTTTGGTGTGTTTTTCCATATACATGAAGTTTCCAAATCTAACCGACATCGAGACAAACATGTAAATATAGTTGATTATCTCTTCAAATTATATTTAAATAGTATTTTACATAAAATTAGAACAAAATGAATTTAGAAACCTAATTTAATACGATCAATAAATTAGGTTCAAAATTGGATGGATTGATACGAATTTAATCATATATAATTGTAAATGAATTGGCTTGCATTAAATAAATGTTGATACGAGGAAGTATACACATATCGTTTTGATGGATAAGTCTATTTGTAGCTGTTGATCGTAAAAATAAAAATTATAGATGTGACACATTTTCACTTGACTGAAAAAAGATAGATACTAAAAAAATTACCGAAAATATATTGGGTGTAATGGCGACACCATCTCATCATTGTTACGTGGTATTACTATCTAATAAAAACATAACAAATAAGCAGTTGAATCCCACATATTATAGTAAATACTCTGTCATGTCATTTAATAATCACTTAAGTGAGGTTCACTTTATTCATTTGTAGGTTTATTATTAGATAGTAATATCATGTATTAATGATGACATAACGTCACCGTTACACCCAATATTTACTCGGCCCGCAAGGCCATAAAAGTACAAGTCCCTTTAAAAGTAAAGAAAAAATGTGTGTGTATATATTGAGAGAGAGAACCTTTATTCGTGTCAAAAATTATCGGTTATTATTTTGTATGATAAACTTATAATTTTGAAATGGAAAGTTACAATTACTCACGATCGATTATGAAAAATACGGTATCGATCCCAATATTTCATAACCGATCATATCTTTTAAAATTGTAACTTACACCTTAAAAATATTATAAGTTAGTCTTAAAAAATTACAACTTTTGGTACCAATACTGCCGGAGTAATGTAAATGTTCCCATATATGTATGTGTGTTCGTTGTTCCAAAATGTATATCAGTACATATATTCAGGGAGACAAGGAAAGCATTCTAAGCAACACGAATAATTCGAGAGCTTAGAGGGGGGAAATCATGTGAGTTTGCAACGCTTCACAAAGTGAGGTATGGAAGAAAAGAATAAGTCCATCCCAAAGGATACCTAAACGCATACTTTTCCTCCACTCTTATGACATTGGAGAAAAAGGTAAAAAATTCAGACATTTTCCTAATAAGGAGGAATTCTTTTCTTGGTTTCAATTTTCCTCTCCCACCAAGGAATGTTTTTTTCTGTTCCACCCACAGTGTCATGACTTGTAATAAAAGTTTCACATGCATGCACATACATTCCCTCTATAAATATACCCACCATATGATAATGAATCAATAGAACAAAAAACCAAAGCCAGAAATCAATCTATTTCTGAGAAGTTTATCAGCATTTTGCAATTTGTAATGGCTTCTACAACAGCAGATAGCATGCCCGATGCTTTGAAACGGAATCGGTACCATATGAAGAGGTGTTTTGCTAGGTACGAGCAAATTATTGTGATTTTTAAACTGACTTCTCTCTCTATCTTGATTTCTGACTTCTTTCTCAAACAATAGCTGCTTCTGTGTGAAAACATAGTTTAAACTCACGCTTCTATAGAAGCAACGATAATCAGTGAGATAACATTAGTATTTTGTTTTTGGAATATATGAAGCTTTGTTGGGATGGGGAGAAGGTTAATGAAAACCCACCATTTGAGGGAGGAAATAGAGAAAACCATACAAGACAAGCTTGAAAGAACCAAGGTTTTGGATGGTTCAATGGGTCACATCCTGAGTTCCACACAGGTGTTAATTTACTCTCTCTCTCCCACCCACCCAACACCACACATGCACAAGTGATTTCATGTGAAAATTTGCAGGAGGCAGCTGTTGTCCCCCCATATGTGGCTTTTGCAGTAAGATATAATCCAGGTAGTTGGGATTATGTTATGGTGAAAGCTGATGATCTTGTGGTACGTGCTATTACTGCTGCAGAATTCTTGAAATTCAAAGAAACGATCTACGATGAAAATTGGTGGGTGTGCACTTGCAACATATTTATCTTTTCTTTTGTTACATATTTATCATTTGTCTTAAATAGAAAAACACTGAAAAAATACACCCCTCAACTATAACCCTTAACTACCTTGTTTCTCGTATTGCATCTTTAACGACAGTTTTGCTTCACATTGCCTCAATGGTTAATATCTGTTGCAAATTTGACGACCAGATATCTCACTTTACCCCTGAATTATAAAATTTTCATTTCACTTTATCTTGATATGTCGACATTTTAGCAGATGTACGTTTCCATTTGCATAATATAAAATCAGTTCAAATAGTTAAAAGGACAATGTGAGAAATCAAAGGGCAAAAATGGTTAAAGCCACGGGCAAATTATATTTTGACCCCCACAACTATGATAACTGTCATATTTTTTATATTGCACCTTCAACTAAATGATTAGTTTCATATTGCTCTAATTATTAACTTCCGTTACAAATTTAACATAAATTTTTTTTATTTTATTCCTTGAACTATGTAATTTGTTTTCACTTTACCTCGACACGTTTATAATTTCTGTCTAGAAAGATAACTGACATTCACAATAAGAGCAGTGTGAAAGAATTTAAATAGTGAAGGCAACAGCACAAAAAATTCAATGATTCAAAAAATAAAATTAACTATAGTTCAGGGGTCAAAGTGTTATTTGCCTGCAAAACCATAGATGAGAGGGTCAACCAATAATGTACCCTTTTATGCTGGAGCACTATAAATTGTAGGAATATAAGACATCCACAACAATCTTGGTTTTCTTATATATTTTTTTGGCTCAAAGAATAATAATAAAATTATTTGATATGCAGGGCAATTGATGAAAATGCATTGGAAGTTGATTTTGGAGCTTTTGACTTCTCTATTCCGAGCCTAACCCTCTCTTCTTCAATCGGGAATGGAATAAACTCCATCTCAAAATTCTTGACTTCAAAGCTTTTTGGGAATCCTGAGAGTGCAAAGCCTTTGGTTGAGTACTTGCTAGCTCTTAATCATCGAGGGGAGGTAAGCCAACAAGAAACTTGAATTTCTCTGACCCGTTCATTGTCTCACGTTCCCTCTTCAGCTATCGCTTTTTTCACATTGTAATTCTAGCATAGTTTTAATAGTTTCACGTTGCCCTCTAAATTATATGCTTCTCATATTGAATTTCTAATTATAGTTAGTTCAAGTGATAATAGGGAAGAGTTATAAACTTAGACGTTATGAATTTAAATCTTGACAATTTTTTAAGGCCATGAGGGATAAATTCCTCGTGAATACCCTAATCTCGACGTGGATGACCTGCCTTCAATCGAACCGGAGAAAGAATTAGTCAAGAAGCGTGTAAACTGACCTGACTGTTGAACCAAAAAAAAATCGCAAAAGTTGAAAACGTCTATTTTACTACACATTTCGACATTTTTCGTTCAAAATAGATTGGATGGTTTGCAAGTCACAATGGCAACAATGTATCTCTTTGAAGATGCAAAGAATATTTGAAACTACTCTCAAACTATCACACGGATTCTGACCCAATTGCCTATGATATGATTATAACGGAATGGAAGGGGAAAAAAAAGATTCTATGCTCTTTTGGGACAAGGTGAATCTAATTCAAGTAATTGAGGAGAAATGTGAAAAACTCAACAGTTGAGGGGACCAAAATGAGATCAATGACAATTAAGAAGAATCAAAGTGTAATATGCCCCAAACAAAACCTAAAATATATATAAAATAAAAAAAAGATTATCAACCTTTGAAAAATGCATTTAGAAATTAACAGCAATCTTTTATTCTGGTCCTACATTTGCAGAATCTAATGATCAACGAGGCCCTCAATACAGTTGCCAAGCTTCAAGGAGCGTTGATTGCAGCTGAAGCTTTCATCTCCGCTCTGCCAAAGGACACGACTTATCAAAGCTTGGAGCAGAGGTAAACTTTTCAATTACTTCCTTTTCTGAAAAAAAACAGTGTATATTCGCCTTGGGCTCTCAATGAGTCAGTTCGTGTCTTGTCAATATTTGTCGATATCTATTCAACTTATACGCAATCTATTTATAATTGTTAGTCGGGTATGTGTCATACCCAATTTATGTCGTGTATTACTTGTGTTTAGCAAATCTATATAGTTGAATTTATGTTGATTCATTTATTTGGTGGATCTAACGGATTCATCAGATTATTGATCATGCCTGCCAAGAATAACCACATATGCCATGCTGATTTCATGTTGGACTTGCTGGCTGTGTTTAGAACTACCAGCTCTATCCTATAGTTTTTGGTCTATCCAAGCGAGTAGAGGCGCGTTTATGTCACTCAACTCATGAATCTGAATAAAATTGAGGGCAAACCTTGTGTGCATAAACCAGTTCTTCAACTCATATACCAGTCAAACCGTAGATTTTATATATTAGTATATGACTTATGTTGCTATCCTATTTCATAATTTCAGGCTTAAAGAGTGGGGCTTTGAGAAAGGGTGGGGAGAGAATGCCGAAAAAGTAAGAGAGACAATGAGGACGCTTTCAGAGATACTTCAAGCTCCAGACCCAATAAACATGGAGTCCTTCATTAGCAGTCTTCCGGTCACATTCAATATTGTTATCTTCTCCGTTCATGGTTACTTTGGCCAATCAGATGTCCTCGGCTTACCGGACACCGGAGGGCAGGTGGGTATTAAAAGCTAGCCATCAAGTACTTCATAGTAATGGCAAAATAGAGTATTAAACCATCCAAGTAGAGTTCAACTGGAGCTAATTAAAAAATGAATCAAATTTGATCATATTTCTAAGCTCTTTTTGTGAATTAGTCAAATAGCAATGGGTGGATCGACTTGAGTAGGTTTTTGTCGATAGATAATTTTAAGATTTGCTAAACAGCACACATTTGAAAGATGAACCCTGTGCTTACTACAAAGTAGCTTTAAACCTTTTTTCTTGGGTGGGGGATTTGAACCATTAACCTCAAGAAGACAAAGATTTTCACAAGATAATAATAAAATTTGTAGTAAACCATAAACACCTCTCTTTTCTTGAGAAATTTAAACTTTTAGGTTTTATTTTATAGTCGATTATACAAAATTTAAGGGACTTTATTGAGAATTGATTTCTTTAGGTTATATTATGAATTTCGAGGGTTCAACTTTAAAATTTTTGTCATATTGATCAGTTCAATTTTGGATTAAGTTGAGTTAAACTACTTGCAAGGTTCTAGCTTCTCGAACTCGTCCTCTCACAATTGAATCAAAACTAAACATATTCAAACTAGATATACTCCGTTCAATTAACACCCCTAGCACTTGAATTTGTAGTATCTTGCTTATCTCCATTTATGTTTTGGACTAGGGATTCAGACATGTGTGACTTGTTATATTTGAACAGGTTGTTTACATTCTAGATCAAGTAAAAGCTTTAGAAGAAGAAATGCTACTCAGAATTAAGCAGCAAGGCTTGAATATTAAGCCCCAAATCCTTGTGGTGAGCCACCAAAAATGCTTCTTATTGTTTTTTAACTTCAACGGTCAAGGATGTTTGACTAGTTTACACTTATGTACACCTCGATTAATCTCGTCCATGGTCCAATCAAAGGTAAGTCATCCACGCCAAAATTAGAGTATTTATGAAAGATAAATCTCTCACGACCCAATGAATTACCAAGAAATGCTTCTCAATTCTCATTGTTCAACCAAATTGAAAAAGAAAATTAGGGTTTTTATACTTTCTTATTTTTTCTTTGTGTATATACAGGTAACTCGTCTAATACCAAACTCTCAAGGGACAAAGTGCAATCAAGAGATAGAGCCAATCCTCAACACTATGCACTCTCACATTCTTAGGGTCCCATTCAGGACCGAGGAAGGGGTTTTGCTCCATTGGCTATCCCGATTTGATGTCTACCCTTACCTGGAGAAATTTGCTCAGGCAAGTCCTTTTTTGATTTTTCAGGTTAATTACGTTTTACCTTCTCGTGGTGTAAATCGGAATCATTTTATCTTTCTGTAATCTGAAAAAATTTATTTTTACCAGCTTGTAGTTTTGGATTAAAGTGTCACTTTTATAATTTCCATTAACATTGATGGTCAAAGATCAATAGTGAAATTCCTTTATTGAAATAGTACATTGACAAACGATCAACATTTACTTTAGTTTTATATATACATTTGAAATTTATTTACTCCCCCTTTTTTGGTCAATCTAATATTACTCTACTCTTTATATATAGGTGTACCATCTCTTATTGTTGTCTCAAACATATACAATAATCTCTTTCTCCCTCTTCTTTTTTCATGCATTAGCTGTATTTGTCAATTTTTGAAAGAATATAGGGAGAATAAACACCAAAAAATGATAATATGAAGGTATTATTATCTTTTTTTACTTTAAACTCTTGGCTGTTGCACTTTAATCTTAAACTTTAAGGGAGTGTTGTACATGTTTCTAAAGTATAGAGAGTGAGAGTGTCATCAGTTTGTATGCCCGCAAAAAGAATTTTTACCCTTGTTTTTATAACTGCTTTACTGTTATTTATTTATTAAATTGTTCGGTATTTTTGTTCTCTCTTTTACTACATAAACATGATTAAACGAATGAAGATCAAAGAGAGATGGGTCGCATACTTTAAGGATCAATATATTTTGCTCTCTGTTAATTTTTCTAGATTTTGACTCTCTCTCTCTCTCTCTCTCTCATCACTAGGATGCTGCTGCCAAGGTCCTTGAGCTGATGGAGGGAAAACCAGACCTCATCATAGGAAACTACACTGATGGAAACATTGTGGCATCTCTGATGGCTAGCAAACTAGGAGTAACTCAGGTCTAACTATTGTCCATATGTTTTGGAACAGTTCATATGGATCACTTCACTTTCCATTTACCAATGATTTATGAATGGTAAAAATAATTCTAAGGCTTTCAATTGCTATAAATCAACAGGGAACCATTGCTCATGCTTTAGAGAAAACCAAGTACGAAGACTCTGATGTAAAATGGAAGGAGTTAGATCCCAAGTATCATTTCTCATGCCAATTCACAGCCGACTTAATTGCAATGAATACTGCTGATTTCATCATAACCAGCACATATCAAGAAATTGCAGGAAGGTTGGTCTGTTCATTTGTGCATCTATATGTTCAAGTTTAACTCGAGTTCAAATTTCAGTTTTGTTCCATTGGGTACAATTTTTTTAATAAGATTTGGATTCAAATTAAGTTTGTTCTTAGAGTTACACAAACAGATTATGTCCAGAAAACCTAACACTTCCACCTACTATTTGCTTGAATTGTCCAGGTTGAACTATAATATTTGTCGAGGGTTCTAACTTCGTGTCCCCTAAAAAAAAAACTAGAATATTCAAAATTTCTATTCAACCATTGGATATTTCAAGTTGGCTTAAATTGGGTTCGAATAACCCTGCCCAAATTATACTCTTACAGTCGACATATATATATGAGGTTATATATGTTAGAAGATATTACTAGTATATTAGCATTAGGGGTCTTTTATATTACTATGTTTTGCCTCGGTATAAATTCGTTGTAATACTGGTTTACAATTGATTAATAGATTTTTCCTTTTTCATCGATAAACATCAACAATATATATGCACTGCTGACCAAACTAATAATTTGCCTTCTTTCTCAGTAAGAGTAGGCCTGGACAGTATGAAAGTCATGAGGCATTTACAATGCCTGGACTTTGTAGAGTAGTTTCGGGCATCAATGTTTTTGATCCAAAGTTCAACATTGCTGCTCCTGGTGCTGATCAATCCATCTACTTTCCACCCACGGATAAACCGAAGCGATTCACCTCATTTCAGCCTGCAATAGAAGAACTGCTCTACAGCAAGGAAGATAACAGTGAACACATGTAAGTCTTTCTCTCTTCTCAGTATTTTTGTTCTATTTAGCACCTGCTACGGGTCATGTTTTGTCGAGTTTTGTACTGCCTTGAACGGGTGAACCCGCATTGTTTAGTATTGTCTGCTATGGGCTATGCGCGCGGATTTGAAACGCATTGTATAAGTAAGGCTCAAAGCTCACATTTATATACAACTTTACAGCCAATTTACCAAGTAATGTGAGGGTGTGTTAAGATTGAATCACTTCGTACCGAATCATTTATAGTCATGTATAATTGAATTCTGACAACAATACTGAACTATGCTTTGAAACAGTGGATTTCTTGCAGATAGGAAGAAACCCATCATCTTCTCAATGGCAAGACTTGACACAGTGAAGAACATCACCGGATTAGTCGAATGGTACGGAAAGAACAAAAGGCTCAGAAACTTGGTAAACCTCGTAGTGGTCGGAGGTTTTTTCGACCCATCAAAATCAAAAGACAGAGAAGAAATGTCAGAAATCAAGAAAATGCACTTTCTCATCGAACAATACAAACTCAAAGGCCAAATCAGATGGATCGCAGCTCAAACTGACCGTTACCGGAACGGAGAACTGTACCGGTGCATTGCTGATTCAAAGGGAGCTTTTGTGCAGCCTGCATTGTATGAAGCTTTTGGTTTGACAGTTATTGAGGCTATGAACTGTGGATTGCCTACGTTCGCGACGAATCAAGGAGGACCAGCGGAGATAATCGTCGATGGGGTCTCCGGCTTCCATATCAATCCCACCGACGGGGAGGAGTCGGGAAACAAGATTGCTGATTTCTTCGAGAAGTGTAAGAAGGATGGTGCAACTTGGAGCAAGATGTCTAGAGCAGCTCTCAAGCGCATTAATGAATGGTATTTCATAATCTTGCACTATTAGTGATAATCTAATCGAGTTTTGTGAGTTTGAGCCGATTTGTTATTTTTAAAATAAATTTTAAAAGTTATTTAAATTCAATTTATTTAAAAAATAAATCAAATTCAAACCAAATTCCAAATGAACCAAACTTGAATAACTTGACTCGAATATCAACTAAAATCTTACATACTTGCTATTAAAAAAGAAAAATCTAATAGGGTGTCGGTGAAAAAAGGGGTTTCACCATATTTAGTGTAATCTTAGGGGGGGGGGATGTGACTCTAATTTACTCTTCTTATATCAAATCTAATGATCATGTTATGTTGCATTGCAGCTACACATGGAAGATCTATGCAAACAAAGTCTTGAACATGGGATCCGTGTATGGGTTGTGGAGGCAATTGAACAAACCACAGAAGCAAGCTAAACAAAGATACATTGACCTCTTTTACAATCTCCATTTCAAGAAACTGGTGGGTCAGTTTGGAATATATTTATTCACTAATTAAAAAAAAAATATCACTAAACTATGTTCATAATATTACAGGCCAATAATTTAGCCAAACCTAGTGATGAAACCGAACAATCTCGACCTGCCGAGACGACAAGGCCACAACTACCAGCCCCACCAGCAGTACCTGAACCGCCACAACCAGCACTAACGCCAATACCGGAAACACAGCCACCACCAAGGCATGTTTAGCACTGAATGCTTATTCTAAGTGGTTGGGTTACTCTCTTTTTATATATGTTTTGATCTGATTTGAGATTTGATTCGATGCAAAATAGGAGTGATGGTGGGAAAAAAGATTTTGAGGAGCAACAGATTGGCATCCCAGAAAATGATCAGGCATCGTACTCGTGGCGGCGGTGGTTCATTTCATGTGTCTGTTCTTCTGTCATTGTTTATTCTGTCATGAAGTACTATGGTTTTATCGAATGAACAAGTTGATATGAGTGTATATTACTTAAACAAATCAGGAAATAATGTTCTTGTTGTGATCGTGCAGCAATTATGGTGAATAGTAAAGAATCAAACAATTAAAAAAGCAGGAAAAAATAATACACAGAGATTTACGTGGTTCGACAATGTGCCTACATCCACGAGAGCGAGCGGCTGTTCTTTTCCATTATTGAAGTAGGGTTACATCTTAAGTATTTATATAACCCTAATATGGACGTATTTATAAAAATATCCCTGTACCGTACTGCGGAGGCGTTGCCCCCGCACCCCCAACTAATTAGCGTCCCCTTTATATAAATCCCGCAAGGCAGATACCGTCACGGGCTCCGCTCCGGCATCTGTCTCCTTGCCATTATGCACACAGCAAATATGAGTCACACATACTCTAATAATCTCCACCTTGGCAAATATTCACCCCTTAGAAAAAAAAAGATGACATGTATTCGAGAACTCTACCAGGGACGCTAAGTTGAGGTATCTCCCATCTAGTAACTAGAGACATTAATCAAGTCCAAGCAGTGCTTGAATTTGTCTGTAGTAATAGGCTTTGTCAACATGTTTGCTGCATTCTCAGAAGTGTGAACTTTCTCAAGTAATAGTTCACCAGAAGAAACCAGTTCCCTGATCTTATGAAACCCCACATCTATATGATTGGTCCTCGCATGATACACCTGGTTCTTTGCCAAATAAATGGCACTCTGACTGTCACAATGCAATTGAACTCCACCTTGCTGGGCACCCAGCTCCTTGACTAAACCTGTAAGCCACAAAGCCTCTTTGGCAGCCTCAGCTACTGCCATATACTCTGACTCAGTAGTAGATAGTGCAATTATAGGCTGTACCATGGACTTCCAACAAATAGGTCCTCCCACAAGAGTAAACACATAACCTGTGGTAGACCTCCTGTCATCCAAGTCCCCTGCATAGTCTGCATCCACATATCTCATAATTGAAGGGTCACTTTGTTATCTGCTAAACCTGATGTCATAGTCTGTAGTGCCCCTCAAGTATTTGAAAATCCACTTGACCGCATCCCAATGCTGTCGACCCGGATTTGAAAGAAACTTGCTAACCACGCTGACAGCTTGTGCCAAATCTGGTCTTGTACAAACCATAGCATACATCAAACACCCCACTGCACTAGCATATGGGACCTTTGACATGTCATGAACTTCATCATCTGTCTTCGAACACTGAGCGATAGACAATCTGAAATGATTCGCCAAAGGTGTACTTACTGATTTTGCATAACTCATGTTGAACCTGTCCAACACCTTCTCAACATAGCTATGCTGAGATAGCCATAATCTCCTGGAAGCTCTGTCCCTGCGAATCTCCATCCCAAGAATCTTCTTAGCCGCACCCAAATCCTTCATGTCAAATTCTCTACTCAACAAAGTCTTCAACTTGTTGACCTCACTCATACTCTTGGCAGCAATCAACATATCATCTACATAAAGTAACAGAAAAATAAATGAATCATCATCAAACCTTTTTACATAGACACAACAATCATACTCATACCTTTTGTAGCCAATTCGGATCATGTAAGAGTCAAATCGTTTGTACCACTGCCTCGGAGACTGCTTCAGCCCATAAAGTGATTTTTTCAAATTACAGACCAAATGTTCCTCTCCAGGGAGACTGAACCCTTCTGGCTGTACCATGTAAATCCGTTCCTCCAAGTCGCCATGAAGGAAAGCTGTCTTTACATCCATCTGCTCCAACTGCATATCTGAATGTGCTACTAGTGCCAACACTGTCCTGATGGAAGTGTGTCTGACCACGGGAGAGAAGATCTCATCATAGTCAACCCCTTTTCTCTGTGAGTAACCCTTTGCTACTAGACGAGCCTTGAATTTTTCTCCCTCATTTTCTGATACTGCTTCTTTCTTCTTATACACCCATTTGCACCCTATTGCTCTCTTCCCCTCGGGAAGTTCCACCAACTCCCACGTCTGATTCTTATGCAGAGACTCCATCTCCTCCACCATAGCACCCATCCATCTACTTTTCTCTTGGCTTTGTACTGCCTCCTGAAAAGTTGTAGGATCCCCGCTACTAGTAATAAGCGCATAAGAAACCAAATCTTCAAAACCATACCTGGTAGGTGGCTTGATATTGCGTTTGGGCCTGTCTGTGGCTATACTATGATGTTGTTGATCACCTGAGATAGAACGCTCTACATGCTGAGCATCCTCTTCTCTACCATGATTCTCTAGCTCCACCTGCACCACATGGTCATTAGTGCTACAGTTTTCTGGTACTTGTTTCTCTTCTTCCTGAGTACGCTGCAACATGGCTTTTTCATCAAAAACCACATCTCTACTGATCACCATCTTGTTTGCCTTCGGATCCCAGAGCTTGAAGCCTTTCACTCCTTTCTGATATCCCAGAAAGATACACTGTCTAGACTTCGCATCAAGCTTCGACCTCTCCTCACTAGAAACATGTACATAGGCTGGACATCCAAACACTCTCAAACCAGAGTAGTCTACCTCACTGCCTGTCCACACCTCCTCTGATACTTTCCCATCTAGTGCTGCCCTCGGTGATCTGTTAATCAAGAAACATGTCATATTCACTGCCTCTGCCCAGAAATTCTTTGCAAGCCCTGCATTCAACCTGAGACACCGAGCTTTCTCGGCTATCGTTCTGTTCATCCTTTCCGCTACACCATTTTGTTGTGGTGTCTTGCGGACTGTGAAGTGTCTCTTGATCCCATGCTGCTCACACAACTCCTGGAACTTTGAATCTGTGTACTCAGTACCATTATCTGACCTGAGGCATTTAATCTTCCTCTCTGTCTGGTTCTCTACTTCAGCTTTCCACAGCTTGAACTTGGCAAACGCTTCTGACTTGTGCCGCATGAAGTACACCCAGACCTTTCGTGAGTAATCATCAATGAAACTCACAAAATACATGTATCCTCCCCGTGATAGTACGCTAACTGGTCCCCAAACATCTGTATGGACATAGTCGAGAACCCCCTCTGTCTTGTGTGTGGCTGTCTTGAACTGCACCCTATTCTGTTTTTAAAAACACAATATTTACAAAAATTGAGCTTGCATGTCTTGACACCCTTCAATAGATTTTTCTTATGAAGCTCTATCATCCCACGCTCACTCATATGACCCAGCCGCATATGCCACAAGACTGTATTATCTGATTCAGACTCTACAGCAGCAACTCCACCTACAATTGTAGTACCCAGCAGTCTGTAAATGTTTCCTACTACTTTCTGTCCCTTCATCACTGTCAGCATGCCTTTACTTACTTTCATTACTCCACTTATAGATTTGTAACTATAACCATTACAATCCAAAGTGCCCAATGAAATCAAATTCTTCCTTAGATCCGGTACATGTCTAACATCACACAACGTTCTAACCATACCATCAAACATCTTAATTCTAATATTTCCTATTCCAACAACTTTGCAAGATGCATCATTACCCATCAGAACAGAACCAGAATTTACTGACCTGTAGGTGTCAAACCAATCTTTGTTGGGTGTCATGTGATAGGAACATGCTGAATCCATAATCCAAGAATCTGTTAAACGATCTGAACTAGATAAAACAGAAAGCATATCTCCGTCACCACTCTCTGAATCTTCTTCTTCCACTACGTTTGCAGACTTTGATGCACCCTTTTTTCTCTGAATCCCCTTTCTTTTTCTCTGGACAGTCCCGTTTAAAGTGCCCCTTTTTCCCGCACTTGTAACACGAGACAGAGACGTCCTTATTCTTCTTCCTCGACTTGGACCGGGCTTTATTGTTACCCGATCCATTTGAGATTTGCTTCTTCCACGTTCCTGGTTACCTTTCACCACAAGCCCTTCACCTTGTGAAGCCTCATAACTGGCTTTCTTCCGCTGATGAAAACCTAACAGAGCACCTGTGACATCCTCCAATTTGAGGGTTTTTTTCCCCCACATCAGAGTCGTAACCAAATTCTCGTACGTAGGAGACGCCGGTAGGGAATTCAGCAACATCAGTGCCTTGTCTTCGTCTTCGAACTTCACATCAACTCGCTTCAGATCGCTGATGATCTGATTGAACACGTTGATGTGTTGGGTCAAATCCGAGCCCTCTGACATCTTAAGACCATATAGTTTCTGCTTAAGATAGAGCTTGTTCGTCAACGACTTGGACATATATCGACTTTCTAGTTTCAACCAAACTTCCGCCGGTGATTCCTCATCCATGACGTGATACATCACTTCATCAGCCAGACAAAGCCTAATAGTCGCCACAGCCTTCGCTTCCAATTCTTTCCAATCCATGTCGTCCATTCCTGCCGGTTGTTTTCCGTATAATGCCTTCACCGTGCCCTGCTGCACTAACAGGTCCTTCACCCTCCTCTGCCATAATCTGAAATTTCCAGTTGTGTCGAACTTCATGATGTAGAATTTTGTAGAGGAAATCCCAGAAATCGTAGTCTAGCTCTGATACCAATAGTTGTGATCGTGCAGCAATTATGGTGAATAGTAAGGAATCAAACAATTAAGAAAGCAGGAGAAAATAACACACAGAGATTTACGTGGTTCGGCAATGTGCCTACATCCACGAGAGCGAGCGGCCATTCTTTTCCATTATTGAAGTAGGGTTACATCTTAAGTATTTGTATAATCCTAATATAGACGTATTTATAAAAATACCCCTGTACCGTACCGCGGGGGCATTGCCCCCGCACCCCCAACTAATCAACGTCCCTTTTATATAAATCCCGCAAGGCAGATGCCGTCGCAAGCTCCGCTCCGGCATCTGTCTCCTTGCCATTATGCACACAGCAAATATGAGCCACACATATTCTAACAATTCTTGATTTTGTAAAATTTCTCTTTGGTAATAAAATTTCAGTCCAACGTTAAGTTGGCATTTGGTTTTAGGGTGTGAGTAATTTCAATAATGTTATACTAACCAAATTTTTGGATCGAATTTAGAGTCTAAATGACTGACTTAGACTTCTTTGATTGATGTCATGTCATTTTGACTCTAAATTTGGTTCTAAAATTTGGTCAGTATAACATTACTCGAGT